CAATTTAGAATAGGTTTGCAGTGCTTTCAGAAGACCTTAAGGCTATTACTGTGGGTAACTACTTTCCATATTCCCTTCAAAAATTTTTCTGGAGACTGTCTGAGGTCTTTGTTAGTATAAGAAACCTTACTTGTTAAAGTGCTTTAAACTGACAGATTGCTAACACAAATCCGTCAAATAAAATCTTAAGGAAAATAATGCATTGTCTAACAAGTAATTATAAAAGCAAAGTAATACATTGTTAAATAAGAAAGGCCACATTCCTAGCATTTTTGGTTCTTAAAGGTGTTGATGAGTATCTAGTCAGATTTTCAGAAAGGCTCTGGTAGCTAGCTGCAATGGTGCTAATGGGGAATTGGGACATAAACAGTCTCTGCAAGGTCTCAAATGCAAAGCTACAAAGAGAAGCTGGAGAAGAATGATCAATTGAATCAGACTCTCTAGGAAGTATTCTGAACTTTCTTTCACTCTGTTTAAACCAGATGAAAAATTTGTTCATGTATGTTTAGAATTGTGTATAATTAATACTGGAGAACACTGATTATAGTATGCTGTTTCTGCTGGGTGCAAATACTTGGTAAAGGTGATTTAAGTTAACTCTGCAATAATTATTTTAGTGATTTTTGGCTGCAATGTCAAGCTTACCTGCTTTATCAGGCAGCTTTTATTTTGTGTTTTAGACATTACTTTGCAAATTTACAATATACCTAAGGCCTATAAGGTGTTTCTATTTTGTGTATCAGGTAATAAATTAGAATGAATTTCAAAAATGTTACGCTACTCCAGTGCTCCACCTGCGTGCAGCAAAACCAAAGGGGTCCTTCCTTGACTGCTTACAAGGTTTCTAAACTAGGAACTTGCTTTCTAAGATGGAATTTTAAGATGGAATTTAAGGCTTGCGTGGTTGGTTTGTCAACATCTGCCTTTTAGCTCAGTCTTCCTAGCTAGCAGTCAAGATCATAGCAATTGTATAAGGATGGACTGTCTAAACCTGCCCGTTAATGATGAGGTATGGTTACTGCTGAGTAATGAAACGGTAGCCAGCAGAAAATGCTAGTGGAACTACAGCTGTATTTCTCACAGAACGCTGTTATTGCATCACTTCACTCTCATTCAGTCAGTGGCAGCCGCTCTGACTGCCTGTTTGTGCATTTATTCCACAACTGCCTCTGCAGTTCATTCATAACTAATCTGTAAATCCCAAACCCCTTTTCCTTTTGGTGTGTCGATGAGACCCCCCCAAATAGCCACGCGTGATTAAACATAGTGGTAATGCAGGCAGGTAATGCACTGTACATTTTATAGGGCTTTTAATGAGTAAAAAGTATTAAATGTGCAGAGCTTATGCAGCAGATATGCATTAATGTTACTTCTGCCATTTGTATTAATTTGGCCGTTTCCATATTCCTTCTGTCTTCCTTCCCATTGCTAAACTTACATATCAAGTCTTCTTTGGAATTAGATTAAAAACTGTTTAGAGCTAAATGCTGTTTCCCTTTAGCTTCTACAGATTCTAGTCTGCTGCAGAACTGGAAAGTGAGTAGGCAGAGCACTGGGACTCAGGAGAACTGATGTCTTTTCTGAGATGTACCCTCAGCTTGCCCTGGGACATTCAGCAAGCCAGCACCACCGCACTTTTGTTTTTCCTCTCATTTTCAACCTGTCCTATCTGCATGGGGAATAAGCTGCCTCTTCTTTTTGTGTTTCTACAGCAGCTAGCCCCAGTTCTAGTCGTTGAAATGCAGGTAACAGGATGTTATCCAGAATGGTACTGAATAGCATTACCAGAGCGTAGTCTATAGGAAGAGCATCATCTCTCCAAAACCTACAACTTGAAAGCTGCCACAAGGGAGGTCGCAAGAGTACCCTGCCAAATAAACCTCAGAATAGGAGTTATTTCCCTCTTTTTCCCAATGTTAATCAATCACGTCTGTCCTCATTGTGGGAGTGTTTGTATGTTTTGTACCTGGTTGCTAAGACAATGCAAAGAATAAGTACTATATAGTAATAAAGGAGACACTCACAGTAATATAGAAAAGTTAGAAGACAGGTGGGGTTTCTTCTGTTTTTTTTTTTTTTTTTTAAATAGGGTCAGTCTTCTCACCCTGACTGAAGCACTTGTCTAGAAGAATTTAAAGTCCCATTGCAAGAGATACCATAGCTGTTTTAGACACACGATAAAGTGAAGAGGCAGGGCAAGGGAGCAGGCATGGAGAAGGATAAGGAGGATGTGGATGGTTTTCAAAAGGTATTTTATTCCTTCAGTTTTCTCCTATATATAAAAGCTTTTGCAGGCGAGTCTTGCTTTTACGAAGTAGCTGAATAGGTTTAAGAGGTTGTAGCTAGCTAGAGGAATAAAAGAAGAGGAAATCAGGTGCTGCTAGAGTGAACCTACATGAGAGACTGTCTTCACTCTGACGTTTTGCTGCACCCTGGAGGATCATTCTCCTGTTGGAAAAGTTTTTGACTTTTTTCTTTGTTTATGTTTTTTTTTTAGAGTGGCCACAGTTCACAAAATTAGAAGGCATCAGTCCTACTGCCTTTATGAAAGCCACATTTATGCTGAAGGGAAGCGTAACTGTTTGCTTGTTGTTTCTTTTGATTTGAACAAAAGCCTTGAAGGATGTAATCCAACTAATACACATGTTTAAACAGTCCTACTGAACTGGGCTGATTTACAGCTGGTCACCTGCCTTTACAGATGCCTGAAAACTCATTTCAGGCCTATTATAGAAATGTTACTATAGTTTTCAGAACTTGTGAATTGGTCTGTTCTGCTGTTGTATGATCTTGTGAGAAGACCAGCCCACTAGACTGCAATAGAGCTGCCTTCTACTGCTGGCTCTCGCTTTTGTCTGATGACTGTGGACAGGCACTTGATGACTCTGTGTCTCAGTTTTCCCATCTTTAAAACAGGGATGATGATTCTTATTTCCTTTGAAATCCACTGTATATCGGAGCAAGCATTATTAGTAGTAGTAGTAGATAGTATTCTTTTAAAGCCACAGGAAACGGTCTGTGGATCTGACTTATTCCTTGCAACTAGTGGATGTCCCTAAAATTATTTGGAATTGGTAGCTAGGAGAGAGTAGCAATTGTACAAGGTATATCCATATTACAGTTAGAGATTTAACTGCAGCTTGCACAGATATGTGCAAGCTGGCTTTCAGTTGTGACACTGCTAAGCGGGTACCCATGGCAGTGTGGAGCTTAGCGCGTGCTGCAGGCTGCACCCAAGTAGCTCAGTATATGCTCGAATGATTGGCCCACGCTGAGCTCCATACTGCTGCAGTGACATTGTTGCCAATATCTCAGTTAGTTAATTTAAAGCTAGCTCAAGTATGTCTGCACAAGCTGCAGTTAAGCTGTGACTGCAGTATAAAAATACACCCTACAGGAGACCACAGGCAGCAGAATCTTCAGAGAAAGCATCTTAGTTACATTTGCAATCAAGCAGAGGCTTAAGGCATCGTTTCAAATTTACCTTACCTTTAGCTTATCGTTCTTCATGCTCTGCAAATATAACCACCCTCTTAAAGTAGGTGAAGGCTTAATTTATCCTCTCTGCCTGTCAAGAATGGTGTTTTAGAGTAGAGTATGCTTAAAATGGGAATTTAAATGCCTACATTTTCATTTTGGTTGCCCCTTTATTGATACCTAACTCATATCTCTGCCTTTTTTCCATCCAAAGTGTGCATGAAAGATCTAAGGTTGTGACAGTAACGCTGGGAAGTAGTTAATATCGCTCACATTTTAGAGACGGAGAAATCAAGGCAGAGAGGAAGTTAGCTACCAAGGACTAAACAGGGAATCAAGGCGAGAGAAGGACCTGGCTTTGCGCGTTTCTTCATCCCCAGTGGAACCAGTGGTGTTTTTGTACCAGCTGCGCTGAGCCTGTTTGTCACTAGCTATCCAATTACCAGTTGCATTCTGCTCCATTTTTTTACGAGGTCCCCTTTTTGCATACACCTTATACTATTGTTTATAACAGAGGTCTTAAGCACACTTTAAAATGACACAGAAAATTAATAATAATCTAAATAATTCAGTACTATATAAATTGTATGGAGTGAGTGTTCTCTTAGGATGTAGCAGATAAATAAAACATGGGTTAGAATGCACTGTGAATGATGGTATTGTAAGAAAGGCATCTCAAAAATAGAGGAGTAAGGATTACATCCTTTTCTATTTTAGTCTTCCTTTTCTAACATGTTTAAAAAAAAAAAGGCTCCAAATTCAAATGCATATGAGAAAGGTAAATATTGAAAAAGTCTATTTTTAAGTCTCATTAGCTTTCCTAAGTACCAATTCAATCAGCAAAATATTCTCCTAGAAAACAGTTTGCACCAGTTCAAGGCTATTTCATGGCTGATTCCTCAAAGATCTATTCTGAGTACAGAAAGAAGCCACATGATTCATTCAGCTTGTGCAATATCTATTTTATCTTGATAGAAGAATTATATATGGCATAGACAAAGGTTTGTTAAACAAAGTATCATTAATCACTCTGTCCGGAAATGTAAACTTGCAGGAAGGAGCGTGCTGTAATTTGCATCACTTTTTTATGCCTAGCCAGTGCTGCTGGTAAGAAATAACAAACCTGTATTTATGAAAAGGGCAGGTTTAAGATGAAAATAATTCTGTCTGAAAACTGTGAGAATGGTACAGAATCCTGTCGCTGCACTCCTTCAACGGGAGAACACTGTATTTGTAATAAATTCCTTTTGCTCTGGATGAGTTCTGCATTTTCAATGAGGTTAACTTGGCAACATTCTAGTTGATTTTAATAAAAATAGCTGCTTTGAGGACAGGGAGCTGAGGTTGCCAAATTTACAGCTGCCTTGCACAATTACTCTTACACCTCCTTCAGGGCTACTTAGAACCAGTAAGCAAATTAAGTGTATCGATTGCAATTTTGTTGGACTAACCCTTTTTTCTTAAGGAATAAACTTGATTCCTTTCAGTATGTGTCTGCTCAGAGTGATCTCTTTTCTTTTCAGCCATAACACAAAGACAACATCATGGCTGGATCCACGACTTGCGAAAAAGGCTAAACCTCCAGAAGAGTGCAAAGAAAATGGTAGGTTATTAAGTTTTCGTTGCTGCTCAGAAGGGATTTGCCTTTGTGTGTGTGCGTGTGTCTCCGTTCTTACGGAAATAAGGCTTTCGGGGGAACGATGAAAGGTGTTTAATTGCTGCTTTGGTTAGAAGCCATAAGTGATACCAGTTCTCAGTGTGCCATGTGTTTCTGCTTTTTATTCTCCTTTCTGATGCTATCCAAAGCTGAGGATCACAAGTGTGTTTTCTGCCTGTTGTGTTTGTGACTCCTGGACTGACCCTCTCCCTCGTCTCCTACAGAGAACTTTGCTCTGCAGCACAGAATCCCTTTGCAGATTCTGAGCTTTTAATCTACAGGCGATTCAATGCATAAGGGAAACTAGCAGCACCGTGGGAATATGAATATTGTTTGATTTGTATTTAAAGGTACAGTGCTATGCTATTTAGTAGCCAATTTAAACAAAACAGTGTCTGATAAAACAGGGTGTGGGAGGGAGAAAACAGAACAGCGTATGTCAGAGTTCAGGACCAGAGTTGGGGGGGTACTGCCTTGTTAATGGTTTTAAAAAATGAAAATGTAAATAGTGTTGGAGATGCACAGGGGAACTGTAGCTGTTATGCAGGAGAGATGAGTGAATATAGATCTCATCAAGCTGTCTTATATGCACTCATTATGATTTTCACATTTTCTCTACTAAAGTTCCAGTAATCAAAATTATTTCGTAAAATCACATCAAAGATGTATTGTAGAAAATCTTTTTCTGTGGAGGTCTCTTTAAATGTTTTATAGTTCAGTGTTAGTTCAATTAGCCAGTTAGGAAGTAATGATTTATAAAGACTGCTACTTGTTTTATTATTGTGTGATATATGGGATTAAACACATGCATGCATTAATTCAAAGCGTTTAAAAACATTTAAAACGTATTAATAGGTTTCATGCAGTGCATCTGATTTATTTTAAAATTTCCAAAATACATGAAATTGGTTAATGTAAGTATTATTAACAGAAAGACAACTCAGTGCCATTTTCGGCCGATAAAAGAGGTCACTGAGGAGTTTCTAGGTATATAAACCGTAGCATCAGTGGTTTGGTATGGAACATTCTTGTTTATTATAAACAGCTTCATTTTTAAAGACTTCTGTATTCCAAAAATCCCTTCCTTATTTCAGCAGTAATTCTGAGGTTCTCTTCTGACATCAAAAAATTCATGTCTAAATGATTTTGTGATGTTTATTCCAGCACTGACAACACTGGCTCCCAGAGTAAATTCTACAACGAATACAACAGAAGTATTACTGACACAAAACAAGGGCATAGGAGTTTTGCGTTGTAAATCTCTCAAGTTACTTACATGGAGCTGTATCTTTGCTTGCTCCCTAAGGAATACTAGTGAAAAAAGCAAAGGAAAAAATCCCCCAATATCTATCGAGCAATGCATCACAGACATAGTTACATGAGGTTAATGTGGGTTGCTTTTTTCTTTTCTGCTAGCGGTTGTTTACTGAGATCACAACAAATATTGAAATTTCATTTTTAAAAATACAAAAATGCTTCAATAATTTTAAATGAAGATCAATATGTTAACAAAATAGTATTATTTTGCAGTTACTTTAACTACTGGATTATTGAATGACTACAGTGTGCCGATCATATTGTTCTTTTAAGAGTTGCTTAGCTCATTAATACAAAGCACTTCAAGTGAAGCACAAAAGACTTTAGGGAGAGATCTTATATTCTAAAAAAGATTGATATTGTGACATTCTGTTTTCCTATGATTGTTCAAGAGTTTCTGGTTTTTTTCTGCTAAAATTTCAATACATATAAAGGCTCCTCAAAATGTCTAAGAAGCCTAAAAATGTTAGCACAGCAAGCTGTTGTGGTCCAGCACTAGGGAGTTTCATATAACACATTTTGGAATTTTCTTTTAGATTTAATGTATTGATTTCAAACCCATTTCATCTATGTCTTGCTAGATGTTTTTTATGCCAAACATCTTTTCTGTTACCCTTTATGATTTATTATGGCACATTTTCCCTCGGAGATTAAAAAAAAATTTAGGAATCATCAGTGCCTAGATAAGAAATGATGCTTACCTTGCTTCTATATTGTTATCTGTCTACTTTGTATTTTTCATTAATATTAGTTTTTTAACATTTGAAATTTTTACTGATTGACTGAGGTATATTATGATGTCCTTACCACCTATCAGATTCTGTAGTCAGTTTTTCGTCTTGAACAACTGAACTTCCGTGTTCTCCTTTCAGTGCAAATCCTGCCAAATCCTCTTTCTTCATTGCCACCGGCAAAGAAGGCACCAGCACACAGTCTCCACCAGAGACAATGTCCAAGGAGCGTACAGTATTTGAGTCCGGATGTTCTGGGCTGCCGATATTGAGGGTCCCCTCCACTGCAGGCATTTCCGCTCTTTCACTTTCAGCTCTTCAGTGCTCCTTTGCCAAATACTGATTCTCCATTTTCCTTGGTTTCTGTATCTACAAATCCCCGTGCTTGTTTATTTCTCTTTATAAAATCTGGAACCAGCCTTCCAGCACATCCCTCCTCTTGGAACAAATTTTCACATGTCTTTTCCAACAGACTGACAAACTCTACCAAGTCAAGCATTCTTTGCTCCATGCTGTGGACACTTTCTCTTCTCCTTTAATGACACCCCCCTTCAAGCCCCATTCGCAGGCTAGGAGGTTTTAAGGGCTGATTTTTATTTCTCTCTCTGTCATGGACCTGCTGTGTGAGTTTCAGCAAATTACTTTGACATTCAGTCTGTCAGATCTACTTAGATTGTACTTCTCTGAAGAAAGAACTGCCTTACTCCCTGTTTGTATGGTGCTTATCTCAATTTCGTAGTAGTAATAGGCAGAAATAGCTGGCAATTCTTCAACAAGAACTAGAATTTTTTACACGTTTCAAGAAAATCTTGACTTTATTAAAAATACTTTGTTTTTCTCTCCTGAAAATATGAAGAAAACATTTGGGTTAGTCTAAATTAGAATACTTCTTTTAAATGGTTCCTAAAAATTTAGTTTTCACTTCAGAAATGATTAACCAAGTTTTCTCTGTACAGCAGACGCCCTACAGAAGTTGCAGTTCTGCCCGCTCTGTTTCAGTGAGCAGGGTTCCCTGATAGCTACAGTTACTATAATGTTCCTATCACAAAGCAGACTCAGAGTGTGTGCTTATGAGTGTTTACAAGTATATCATGTATATTATGTGAGTGATCTGCTAACAGAGTATGGACGAAAGATTACTAATCACATAAGGCAATAAAAAAATGTAATTTAATATTGAAAAGCAGTTCAGTCTAAATGAAATTAAATATCATAGTTTTGAAAGAATTCCTTTTTGGATTAAAAAATGTAGTAATGAAATTTTTCGATTTCTTGAATCTGTTTTAGGAAAATTTCCATTCTAGAGAAAAGTGAACATTTACTTCTTTATCCAATTTTAGGATTACCGAGCTATTGAAATGTTGAAATTTCCTGGGATCAGGAACGTCAAATTTCACTTACCTCATTCCTAATCTATCCCAATCAGTAGTCTCCATCACTAGTCTTCATTACTCTTAGCCGTCCCTTCCTTTTGATGTCAATCTTATTTCTCCTATGTCTTAGTTTTCAAATACAAGTATGCTCAAAAGCATTAATAAATCTTTGATTCCACCTAGCATTCATCCGTCATCCATCTTTCCATCCTCTACAGCAACCAGCTTGACTGCCAAATAGAGGTGTCTATCCAGGGTGAACTGAATTGCCTCTAGACTTCATTGACCATGCATACCAGGTCCAGTTTAGCAGTAAGCAGGGCATAGTTGTCTGGTTCACATGTAAACACCTGGACATAGACTGCCACATGTAGTAATGAATCCTGACTGGAACCTCACCTCACTGTCTCTTTTCCCCATTCCTGTTGTCACAGGTGGTATTTTTGGGTGAGCTGCCTGGCGAGTACAGCGTCAGCTCTCATCTTCATGCCAGTGACACACATCCACCCTCTTCCTCTTCATCTTTCTCTCCCAGATGAACCCCTTGTTTCATGGTATGTCTGACATCTCCCAATGAACCATCTTCAGTCCTCCATGTTTCCCCAGTTCCCTTTCATTATTAACGATAATTTCAACCTCCTTCAACCTTTGGCCTGCCAATTCAGGGCATGTCTCTCTTTTCCATTTCACCTGGCCAGCAGAGTTCTCTCTCTGTCCTTTGCATGGTACTGCATGGTTCACATGAAATCAGGATTTCCTTTCCTTTGATTCTTTAAAAACTATCGTCATCTTCAGCCGTCCTCTCTCTAAACATCTCAACTTCTTAGAAAAAGGAGAGCTACAGATTTGTTGCTATAACTGAAATTTTGAACATATATATATTTAGAAATGCATGAATAGTATGATCCTTGCCAGCAAAGCTCAGAACACTAATGTTAAATTCAGAATCATAAAGGTGATTGCTGATTAGGCTGTCTGTAATCTGGGGAAAGCAATAATCTTTCACAGCAGTGAATAGACTCAAATTTCCTTATTATATTCTTAAACTTTATGTAGTGCATTTTTAGCTGGGCATGTCTCCTGTGAGACACAGGAGCACCTTCATTCATTTCATGTTCAGTTTGGAAATCTGCATTAAATGGTTCTGGACTTAGGAGTGCATTAGCATTTTAAACTTCTTTTAATGCTAGAAAATGAGTCTTTATCAGAACTTCATCAGTTAAGGTAAAAGCCCTGTTCACATAAGCTACTGCTTCACCATTTTTGCAAAGGCCCGCTATTAATATTAGAAATGACTGTAGTTCGGCAACTGGTCCGCAGTCATGACCGAAGACCTATTCTGCTTGTTTCCAGCAGATGTTCCTTTAATCATGTAACTCTAGTAGAAACCAGACTTCCAGTGATAGGATGAAGTTTATATGGACACCTCTACATTTCCACAAGTGCAAACAGGAATCCAAACCAAATATGTGCTCGAACATCACCAGACTTTGTTAAAAGGAATAATTTTCAAAATAGTATCATT